TTCCCCAGAAGCAGAGGTGGGTCCACCCAGAACCCGGGATCCAGGCACCTCCAGACTTGCACCTGAATGCAGATTCTGGCCCTGAACTTCACTCTACTCCACTGCTCGTCTCTGAAACCCTGCAAGCGTCTCCTCAGCTCTGCCACACCAAACGTGGGACCAAGACCTGAGACGAGCATCCGGGAGACGTGACCAAACCCTAGGGTGACCAGATAGCAAGTGTAAAAAATCGGGACAGGGGGTGGGGGGTAATAAGTGCCTATATAAGAAAAAGCCCCCAAAATCGGGACTGTCCCTATAAAATCAGGACATCTGGTCACCCTACCAAACCCATCCGCAGAAGAGGAAAGCTCAGCTGAGATGGGATTCCCTGATGCGGGGTAAGCCCAGAGGAAAAGCCTGTCCCAGGCCAAGAACTGGAATAACAACGAGGGAGCAACCGCCAGAGGCCCAATTCTCCTGCCCTGTGTGTGGTCATTTACTCCAGCGTGGCCCCAGGCACTAGTCACTGACTGCACAAGGGCCAGAGGTGGGAGCTGAAGCTGCCGTAGGCTCGATGCAGGAACCCCTGGGTGGATTCTCTGGCCTGTGCTGTGAAGGAGTCAAACTAGATGATCACAGTGGTTCCTCTGGCTTTAATCTATAGGAATCTTCCCCAGGAGCATTTCGATTTTCTTTTTGGAGGGGGGGGGAGAGAGGGAGAGACTGTGATTTGGTGCCTCTGACGGATTTCAAAGGGGAAATATTTGCTCCTCAGAAGAAGCTTTAGGAACTCAAGTTAAGAGTTCATAGACTCATAGAACTGGAAGGGACCTCGAGAGGTCATCTAGTCCAGTCCCCTGCACTCAAGGCAGGACTAAGTATTATCTAGAGTTACCCCTGGCTGGGACAGTCCTACCTTGTCTGCAAACCAGGGGGTGGATGGACTCAACCAGAAATAATAATAAATAATCATTAATCAGCAGCTCACCTGCTTTCTTCCTTCTGCAGGCCGAGCTTATTGCACACACGAGGGGCTCCTTGCATTAATAATAATAATTAATTGCACTCATAATAAATTGTCAATCTAAGGCACCTTCCAGCTGAGGATCTCAAAGCACTTTGCAGTTATTAATTTAGCCTCAGAGCTCCCCCGTGGAGGTAGGTGACTATCACTGTCCCCATTTTACAGATGGATAAACCAAGGCACAGAGGGGGGAGAAGTGTTTTGCCCGAGGTCACACCCCGGGAGCCAGTGGCAGAGCTGAGAGCGCAGTGCACTAACCGCTAGCTCACGCTGCTGTCCGAGGGGATAGGAGTGAATCTGGGTCTCGGTGGAGGGAAGCCCCTAGTCAGGGAGAGGCAGCTGGACCGTGTGCAGTCGCGTCATCGTGCTCCTGGATCGGAATCAAGGCCAGCATTGCAGAGCCCTGGCCAGCGCTGCACTAGGTGGAGGTGCCTTGCCAGGGCTATTTTCGTGCTGCTAGGTTCTGAGACTTTAAACAGCAACGCCAGCCTTGGACGAGCTCTGGCAGGGAAGGGATGATCCCAGAGCTGATGCTCACCCCCCTCCCTCCCCCCCGGACTCTCCTGGCCCACGAGTGAGGGCAGAGGGAGCTGTCTGCGGGGAGCCCTGCAAAGCCAAACCTGGGGCAGGTCCACATTGCCGGGAGGGCAGGGGGCAGGCGGGGGTTTGGCCCATTCTGGCAGCTCCCCAAGCCAAACGAGGCTCCCTGCCGGGCATGCGTGGGAGCTTCTGCTCCTGGCTGGTCTCAGTCCCGTGCCACGGTGGGAGAGACCCACTCGATGGGCACAATTGTTATCCTTGCTGCACTGGGCTAGTGGTGACTGACAGGTGGCAGGCCCACTACCAGCCCCCCAAGACATCTGGTCCCCAGCAGGTGCTAACCTAGGAGGGGCTGTCTAGGGAGCGAGGCGTGTGCATGGGGATAGGAAGGACGGAGAGAAGGAAAGAGCTGGGTTCAAGAGCTTTAAGGTACAAAGTCAGAACTGAGGAAACACCACAGTTAATGTCACTCATGCAGCCTTAATTCTGCAGCCTCTCGCATGTGTGTTTAACTACCCGTCTTGGCTCAATAGCCGTCTTCGAATCTAGGCCCTTCCGTTTCCAGCCACAGGCCTGTCCCACTGCAGCTCTAGAGAGGGACAGGACACACGCTTTGCCAGCAGGCTACACAGTTAGTGGCTGTGGTGGGGTGTCAGGCTTCATGGGTTCCCTTCCTGGAGCAGTGAGCAGAGCATGGCCTAGTGGTTAGAGCAATGATTGCAGCCAGCAAAGTCAAGCACACAGATTTGGCACCTTCCCTCCCAAAGGCAGCATGGCTGAGTCGATGAGATGTAGCTTTGGCATCTGAGACCCTTGGGTTCTATTTCCAGACATGGCCTTGTGCAAACTCAGTTGCCTTATTTGCAAAATGTGGGGGGAACGACCATCGCCAGGCTCCTGGGGCAGGAACCTGAGGCCTGTCTCAGACACGCGGGTTGGGAACTGCCCAGAAATACTCACGCCAGTAAAAGAGGTGAGACCAAAACCCAGGGGCTTCTCTCCCCCTTTCTCCAAGAGACACAGGCAGGTGTAACACGGCTGCCATGTGCACGACACCTGGCAAGTCTGGCACGGGGGGCTAAGACAGGGGAGGTTAGCCTGGTCCTGGGCACTGCCTCCTGGGTGATCAGCTAAGCCTTAGGGATCCTCCTGTCCCCATGGCTTGTCTGTCTCCCCTTGGGTGCAGATCTGTGGGCCCCTACCCACACCCAGTGGAGGGGGCAGCATGTGACCCTGATGTGGGGGTTGCAGGAAGGGGAAGCAAGAATCAGGTTAAAGCCATAGGAAAGTCCAGCCCCAGAGGGACTGACTGGCAGACTGAAGGAGAGGTGAGCGGGGTGTCTTGCTATTCTCCTGCCCCACTGACATCACCTTCCTTCTGGGAGGCAGCTGGGGAGCTGAGGGGCTGGGACCCCAGAGCAGACCGAGCCTTTGGTCCTTGCCCTTTCTCCTCCCCTCTTTTCAGTGGAGCTCCCAGCCCTAGAATAGACCCTCACAGTCGCTAAGGAGCAGAGGGAGGAGAGATTCATTTAGCTCAGGGGTAGGCAATCTATGGCACACGAGCTGATTTTCAGTGGCCCTCACACTGCCCGGGTTCTGGCCACTGGTCCGGGGGGCTCTGCATTTTAATTTAATTTTAAATGAAGCTTCTTAAACATTTTAAAAACCTTGTTTACTTTACATACAACAATAGTTTAGTTCTATATTATAGACTTAGAGACAGAGACCTTCTAAAAACGTTAAAATGTATGACTGGCACGCGAAACCTTAAATCAGAGTGACTAAATGAAGACTTGGCCCAGCACTTCTGACAGGTTGTGGACCCCTGATTTAGCTGGAGCAAGTGGGCCCCGCAGCAGGGAAAGGGTTACTCAGACGCAAAGGGAAGGCTGGCTGCTCAATAATTAAATAAATATCAAGAATCAATATGGACAGAGCAAGCGATCCAGCCTCCTCCTCCAACGTGGCCCTGCCTCGGTCGAGTTTTGGTGGAATATGCAAAGAAACTTTCAAGTGAATATTTTATTCACAGAAAGAAACCACACAAAGCACACACTCACGGAGCCCACAACAGTAACACACAACACAACCAGGGAATATTCTCTCCTGTCAAATAACACACACAACACCAACTGTGAACAGAGCCTAAAAGAACACCCACATACCATATTGCAGCCTATGTTTTATAAACTAACACACACAACACAGGGCCAGTATGCTGTGATCTAAAGTAACACCCGCGGTCAATATGTTATAACCCAATGTAACACAAACCCACACAATAGTCCCACTGATCCCCTAAAACAACACACAGAGAGGGAATATTTGATGACCTAGAGTAACACAATGCACAACACAGGTAGTGATCCTTGCCACCCCCTTCAAAATAACATGCACATAAAATACACAACACCCAGAGACTATTTTATCACCTACAGTAACACAACCACCCACAATGAATAGGTTATCATTTAAAGCAACACGCGCATAATCAATATTTTAATAACACAAACACAATATACACCAAGAAAATATGATCCCTCCAAATATCACACACAACACACGCCATGAATATTTGTGACCTACACAATACACACTAGCCACGGTGCACAGATTATCCCCGAAAATAACACACAGAGACACACACAGAGTTGCTCCTAGAGAGTCCACACACACACACAGACACAGACACGAGCCCATGTGATTCCAACTTCGTACAAAGTTAGATCATTTCGAAGAAAAACGGCCCCCATCACGCCCGAAAGGCGCTTCCCCGCAAGCCCAGACCTGGGGGGGGGGGGGAGACACACATGTGCCGTTCGGTGCAGAGGAAAGTTTCACGTGTATTACGGGGGGGAGGCTGAAAGCAATTAGTTATAGACCGATTATTTCCCCTCTAAATGCCCATGAAGGCAGGAGTGCCCCGAGGCGAGCCGGCTGCGAGCTGCCAGTCGCTCTTTTTAATTACACCCCAAATGCCCCCCCATTCCCCCCTCTCTCCCCAAATGCCCCCCCAAACCCTGCAGTCTCCCTGCGCCCATCCACCCCCCGCCGCATGACCAAAAACAAGCACCCAGCCACACTCGCAACCCTGCGAACACAGCCCCAGTGAAAGTGAAGGGGGGGGGGGGGAATCACTAGACAGAAAAAACAACCACCACCCTACTAAAAACAACCGGCAAGAGCCGAGCGTCATCCCTGCTGCAGACAGCCCGGATCTTCACACACACCAGAAATCCCGCCCTTTTCTTTAACTGTACAACTATTTTGCACTAATGGTGGCAGAGAAATTACTCCACCGAAAAAGCCCCGATCTCAACAGAGGAAGCAAATCTCTCCCTGTCCGCATCCCAGTCACTAATAAAAGCCAGCCAGCAATGAGGCAGGGGCTCGGAGGGAAGCAGCCAGAGGGGATTTGGGGCGGGCAGGGAAGGAGAAATGGGGGGGCTGTTACCTGAGTTAAGCACAGAGGAGACGAATACATCCCGAGTTGATCTGGGAAACTGACTAATTGCAGAAGAGAGACCCAAGGCGCAAAAGTTACTGAGTCATTTCGAAGGCTGTAGCAGTTTTCCCCCGTCTCCTTCTCCGGAATCGCTCTCGTCTCTGGAGATGGATCGCAGGCAGGGGAGGGGGGGTGTTGGGCGGGACCCCCAAATCAAGAGAGAGCGAAAGATCCAACTTTAAGAGGAAAAAAAATCAACCCGAAAGCTAAGACGAAAAAGACTCATCCTGGGGGGGGGTATAGATCTCCGACCCCCCTATAAGATCCCCCCCAAATACAAAGTGGAGGGGGCCAGAGGGGGAGCGATCGGGGAAGTTATAGGGAAATTCGCTCCATTGGAGACACGGGCACGAGAGAGAGAGAGGAAAGAAAGAATGAGAAAATGAAAAAAAAAAGGAGCGAGGAATGAAGTGACGTTATGAAAAAGCCCATCCCAAAATATTACATCCCATTTAAAGATGCAGGATCCCCCTTTTGGCTGATAGCTGCGCCGCTGCAGGGCAAAGCGGCGCTGGGAGTAGGGTTTGCAGGGAGTTGCGGGGGGGGGGGAGTGGGGGGATGTGGGGGGGTGCCCCGGGGCCGGGGGGGGGGGGGGGGGGGGGAGGGGGGGGGGGGGTGCCAGGGCTTGCGGAGCGGCTGGGCAGAGTCGATAGGATCAAAACTGCAGATTCATATTCGTCTGCTGGGCAAGCGCCAAAGGAGACGCTGAGGATTCAAGCCCCAGTGGATGGAGGTTCTGGGGAACTCACTGTGCCAGGGATGGGGTGTGTGTGTCACACACACACACACACACACAGCCCGCTCTCCCCTCAAGCTTCACTCCTTGCTGCTAACACAGTCAACTTGATATCCAGTCGCTAGATAGACACATGCGTCTTCCCCCGACGGGAACTGCCCCAGGCCAACACACACACCCAGGAAGCCCCCCAGGGTTGCTGCTCTGGATTGGGGGGGGGGGATTGGTGCCCCTGGGAAAAGAGCTGGCGGAAGGGCATCGCCCGATATTATGTCGGGGGGGAATCTTCTGTTAACATCTGGACTCAGGGCACGTAGACAAAACAACAACAACCACCCAGAAGCGTCCAACAGCCCCTCCAGGTCACTCTCCTTCCTACCAGCCGCCGCCGGCTTAGAGGGAAACAGACAAGGCCAGAAGCGACCCCGGACACGCAAGTGGCAGCCCGAGCCCACCAGCCCAGGCGCCGATTGCAGCGCAAAATCCGGATCTACAGACTCGGTCCCCAGCGCAACAGGCCGAAGCGGCCCTTGGAAATGTTAGTAACAAATCAATAGCCAACCGTGACTCTAATCGCGCTGTTACCAGCCCCCCCCCCCGCAACCCGACTTTCTGCATGGCCCCCCTCGGCTCACACCCTGCGAGCCGGCCATTCACACCTCAAACCCCGCTCACTCCACACGCTTGGGTTTATTTACTTCGTTTTCTCTTTTTGCTGCAGTCAGGCGAGTTAACTTCTCCCGGGGTCGCTCCGTTTTCGAAGCGGGCGAGGGGGGATGATAACATGAAGCGACAGGTGAACATTAGAGGACACATCTGTCAGGTTCGTAGATTCCTTTAGTCCAGCCGCGGCTAAGAGTTTGCAAAGCCGGGGGGCGGGGAGCGGGGGGGGGGCAGTTGCTCAGTTCAAAATTAGTAACATCACTTCGCCTCCTTCCTCAACACAAACAGCACAAAAAGAACAGAAAAGAACCCCCCCTTCCCCCCAGTCAAGCAGCAAACTCCAAAACACAAATTCTCCCTGCATACAGCGGAAAAAACAACAACTAAAAATTTCTGGAGGCTTTAATAAAACTAATTAGAGGGGGGGGGGACACACGTATAGAAAAAACAAAGGGAATCCCTGCTTTATAATTCTGAAAGTGAGACCTCAGCCCTTCTCTGCCATGGCAAAATGTCAGACTCTCGAGGTTTGCGATTTTTGATTGACTCCCTCCACTTCTTTTTAAATTGCGTTGATCTTAGCAGGGACCTCAAACAAAAAGAATATGGGAAAAGTCCTCTCTGGTTAGGAAATGTTGCAGGATTTGGAGGCGAATATTAAAATGAAGGGTTTTGCCTAAATCCGGAGTTTGGAGTCGAATTGTGTCTATTCGGTGAGTGGTATATGAAACAGCTATGGCTTTACAGCTACAGCTGTCTTTCTATATAAGACGAAATGTAGTAGCATCTACTTATAATTATAGGACAAAATATATTCGCGTAGCTTTCCACCTTATTTTCCTACTAGGTTAGACACCAGACTAACACGGCTGCTACTCTGAAACCTAATTAATCATAGCATCTCCATGACCAATGATAAACCCTTGGTTTTCCCCTGACACTTTTGCTTTTCCAAACTCCACAGTGCTTTTCTCGGCAAAAAAAATTCCAGAGGTCACCCCCGACCCCCCGCAAAGTATTTTCTGCAGAAGAAAGTACTCTGCGCGTTTGATTTTCTGCGCGTTGCAACGTACTGCAGGCGGGAAGGGTTCGTTAGAGATTCCCAAATTCACTCTATGCTGCAAAGTTTGTAAGCGGGAGAGTCCCGAAGTTGCTAAGCCCTGGGGCGGGTGGGGGTTCCCTCACTTCTCCCCTCGGCAGTGCAGGTTGGAAGGGATTCAAGGCCTAGAGTTGATAGGATCGATCGGAGAGGAGGCCTAGGGTAAGATGTTATGTGTTAAACACCTACCCACTGCGGCAGGCAGCTCGCTCTGCATACGCCATCCCGATGGTTCCCCCCTCTGTACGTGGACAAACCACCTTCTCTTTTGCTTCTAAGGTCAAAGGGATTTTAGTTTTGGTCCAAGTTTTTTGGAAGCATCATTAGAAGAAAACAGTGTTTCTTCCCTTGCCTCGCAGGAGCAGAGAGCCGCTCTGAGCTTTTCTCCCCCTGCCCTCATCAAAATGTTGCATTAAAAAAGAAAACTTTTGTGTCGGCGTGGAACAAATCTGCGTCCTTATCACGTTTTTTGAAAGCCCCCTTTTGGGGAGTGTTTATTGCTCAGCAACTAGCAGCGCCCAGCCAAAAGGCCAAAGCAGCAGATTTGCTCGGAGAACGGGGTGGTTTGTTGTTGTTTTTTTAAATCTCTTCTGTACTAAACAAATAAAACAGCCCCCAAACCTCGAGGCTATTTTTGGAACGAGAACTGAAATTCGCTTTTCGTTTCTTTGGTGCTGTGGTGGCAGGGGAGGGCTGCAAAGTGTCTCCGCTTTGAAACACCACGTTTGGGGGCCCTGATCAGCAAGGGGGGGGGGATCCGCGGCCTGTCTCCCTCCCCCGAGCAGCCCGCAAGCCCTGAACTTTGCTGGCCCTGGCAGGCCCGGGCTACCAGCTGGTAGAGAAGCGGCTGCTCCCGCAGCTGGCATGCAGGCTGGGGGCGGGGGAGAGACGGGTGTGCATTTCGCACTGGGGGGGCCGCGCTCCGTCCCCCCCCCCGGGCCGTGCCGGGCAGAGCCGGGCCAGCTCAGGCAGGTGGGCATGAAAACACAGCGGGGGGGAGGGCAGCGGCGCAGGGTGCGCAGCCGGGGCTTGATCGCGCCTCTGCTGGGCGTCATTGCCAAGTTCAAGTCGGTGCGGCTTGCAGTCCTCTCCGCCCCTTTCCGAGCGGCCATTTTCCGCTACATCCAGCTCTGAGCCGCCCTGGGCTGCGGAGAGCTCCCCCCCCACCCCCCCGCCTCTTCCCCAGCACCTCGGGGGAGGGGGCGGGGAGGAGTGGCAAAGAAACTTCCCCAGCAATAACCATCTCCCTCCCCCCCCCGCCGCTACAGCACGAAACTCTGCCTCGCAGGCAGCTCCTGGTCACTTCTGCATCCCTCCCCTCCCGGCTGCGTCCCCAGCCTGCACCGTAGCCGGGCAGCCCCCACCCCCAAGCACAGACCCAGGCCGGGCACTGCCCCCCACCTGCCCTCCCAGCGCTCCACGCCTCTGCTTTGCCTTGCGGGGCAACCAACAGACCCCCCCACCACCACCCACCCAGCAACTTTTGCTGTTTGGTCCATCCACCTTAGCGGGGAGGGGGCAGGGAGAAGAGAAAAGGAAACTGACAGGGAACCTACCATCGCCAAGTGAAATGAACGAGGCTCCAGACCAAGTTGCAGCCAAAGGAAAAGGGGAAAAACAATCTACAATTTGTGTTTTCCACCAACAAAAAGAGAGAAGGAAAAAAACCCCCAAAGTGTCCTCAGAGTTGGCTCATGTCTCCGGCTCCTTCTTGCTCTGAGCGCCCATGTCAGTGTCCCCGGCGTGGCTCGGGTGTATTGTTATTTGGGGGGTGGGCTGGTTGGGTTGTGTGTTGGGTTGGGGCTGGGCCGAGCGCGCACACACGGGCATCTGCTCTCCGGTCGGCGCGGCGCGGCTCCCGGCTCGGCTCCAGGAGGTGCCTGGCGCTGGGCGAGTCAGAAAATGGTCCTAAGCCCCCAGGCCGGAGGGGAGGAATCGCAGCCGCTTCCCAGGGTCCCCCAAGGCTCCTGTGACAAGTCTCCTGGCGGCGGAGCGGCGGCGGCGGGTCGGTTCCGGCGACTATTGGGAGGCCATCGCCCCCTCTGCAGCTATGGGAAATAAAAGCTCACATCTTCCCCTCCCCCCCCAACACCAACTCCGGACGGGCATCGCTCCGGATTGCAGCCGCCCGCCGGCACCCCCCCTTCCCCATCGCATCCCTCCCCTTCTCTCCTCCCCCCGCCGCGCCGCAGCCTCCTCCTCTTCCTCCTCCCCCTCGCCAGGACACCGGGCAGAGCCGCACGGGGGGATCCCTCGCCTGGTGGGGGCGGGGAATGGGGCTTCTTGCCCCCCCCCCCGCGCCAGGGGGGCGAGCCGAGGCGTCCGCTGAGCCGCCGCGGGATGTCGGCGATGGTAGGGGGGCGGCGGCGGAGCAGGGGCTGTGCCCGCATCCTAGCAGGAGCCCGCAGGCTAGACCGAGCGGGAGGGGGGGGGGGTGAGTGTGAGCCGCCGTGTCACAGCCCCGTGCACCTCCTGCCGGGCACACGCACACCTGAGCGTGCTGCAGAGGGTGCGTGGGACACACACCGGCTTGGGGCTTGCACGGCCACTGCAGAGCGGATTGCAACGGGCAGTTACATGGGGGGGGGGCAGGACTCCCCTCCCCCCCAGCTGTAGAGGTGACACAGCTGGAGAGTTCTGCATCACAGAGTGACCCCCCCATCAGGACACCCCTCCCCCTTCCCTCAACCCCCCCTCCCCCATCACTTGCTTAAAGCTGCACACACCCATTTTAAAAACGGGGAGTCTGGTCCCCCGGGCCCCGGGTCCCCTAGAAGGCCAAACCCCCCCCCCCCCCTTATAGCGCTGGTGTGTGTCTGAAAATACAGCGTCAAACATTAACCGCGGCCTCC